AAAAAAAAAAAAAAAAAACCAGAAAAAGAAAAAAGTAATAATCATAATTGCATAATGGCTCTTCATATATATATAGTGCATATACAGCCATGAAGTTGTTTTATAGGCATTTTGCTTTGCAACAGCTCTGTGACAGGTAGCGTTTCCCTATTTTAATGGTGAAGAACCTGAGGCTTAGAAAATTAAAGAGAACCCTGTAAAGGCACAGAACTGTGACACAAACACAAGATTTAACAAATTCCTGAATCTTTCTCCACAGTGGTGTGGAGAATACGGATAAAGTAATTTATATGCTCAATATAAGTAATGAATCAGAAGTATTCAATTGAATTTAGTTTGCTTCAAAAATTCAGTCACTTCTGCTTAAATAATTTTAAGGTTAAATTAAGAAGAATTGATGCAAATGCACATATCATTTGGGGACAAATTTTGATTTTTTTCTTATTATTGAAAAATAGGGTCTTGATGTTATTCTCTTCCATTTAAAAATTGGAATACACATAAAGTACAAATGGCATCAACGTATTATTTCAACATTCAAGCAAAATTAGGATATTGCTTTCAGAATTGGTGTTTTAAAGCAGAGTATTGTTGTGGAACATAACTAACATATAAATGACTATCAACCTATGTTTCTCTATTCTTAAAATTGTATATAAACTACAAGTAAACCCAACAGTTCTGTGATAATTGTCATGAAGCTCAAGGGGAGAAAATCAATGTGAGGTCAAAAGTTCAAATTAAAATGGAAAGAATAGGTCTATTATCTGAAAGGATTCATAAAGCTTCTTATATCTAAATGTGTTTTTATCCTAAGAAATATTTGAACCCTGAATAGCTTAGATATTTACATGCTTTATAGAAAAGATGTGAACCAAATGATCTAAGTTACTTTCTAGCTCTGCAGCTCTGTGACACTTCAGTGGCTTTTGTAGTATATTATTATTATTTTGTTGTTGTTTTTTTGTTTTTTGAGACGGAGTTTTGCTCTTGTTACCCAGGCTGGAGTGCAATGGCGCAATCTCGGCTCACCGCAACCTCCGCCTCCTGGGTTCAGGCAATTCTCCTGCCTCAGCCTCCTGAGTAGCTGGGATTACAGGCACGTGCCACCATGCCCAGCTAATGTTTTATATTTTTAGTAGAGACGGCGTTTCACCATGTTGACCAGGATGGTCTCA